ATATGCTAGTATGAACTTCAGATGTAAAAAATTCAGTTATAAAATTGACCTCCAACAATGACTCAAAAGAGCTTGGACTGGTTAGGTGGCTCAAAGCTGTAATCCTAGCTACTCAGGAGGCAGAGATCAGGAGAATCATGGTTCAAAGCCAGCCCTAGCCAATAGTTTGCCAGACCCTATCTTGAAAATACTCAACACAAAAAAGGGCTGGCAAAGTAGTTCAAGTGGTAGAGTGTTTGCCTAGCAAGCATGAGGCCCTGAGTTTAAACCCCAGTGCCACAAAAAAACAAACAACAAAAAAAAACCAAAAGAGCTTGGATTGCATGTGAAACTGAAGGGGTTTAGGGTTTAGAAAAGCCATTGATGTTGGTCAAGGTCTTCTGGAGGCTTCTTCTTGGTCAAGGAGACATCAGGGCCAGGTCCTTTGGTGACAGCACTGAATAGATCCTGAAGTAGATATGCCCTGGCTCTCTTCTCTTTTTGTGAAAGAAACCATAAATAGGGTATTTAATATGCAAGCAGAAACAAGGATGGGAGGGAAATAGCCCCAATGGCCAGACCCCCAAAACCTCACTGGATATTTTGGAAAAGCCCTTAGAACTCAGAAACTAAAGTGGGAAAAAAACAAAAGCAAGTCACCAATGAAGGTGTTACTCCCCCCCACCTTTGTTTTTTTTGCAGTACTGGGGTTTGAACTCAGGACCCACACCTTAAGCCACTCCAGCAGCCCTTTTGTTTTGTGAAGGGTTTTTTTGAGATAGGGTCTCATGGACTATTTGCCCTTCAAACCATGGCTGGCTTCAAACCACAGTCCTCCTGATCTCAGCCTCCTAAGTAGCTAGGATTACAGGTGTGAGCCACTGACACCTGGCTCCATTTTACCCTTAAACTCACAAGAAAACATTTCTCTAGAAACTAAAGAACAACTTATAAATTTGTGATTGAGATGGCACAGTAATATCAATAGTCATCCCTGACTCCCTAGAGTACTAAACTTGGATGCTATTGTTTTTTTTAATCTTGGAGGTCTCAGGATTTCACAATTGTACATCTATGGTGTAATGGTGTATTTCTTCAATGTCTCTTTACATCAAAATAGTCAATACTGTTATTAATCTTCTCCAGGGAAAATCGGCAGATTCCTGGATGGCTGTGTCTCCAAGTTCACTGAGGTCCCTTCCTGCCTTTTACAGGTGTTCAACCAGGAACCCAAGGGCTTTAAGGTGCCCTGTGATTCTAGTCTTCTCCAACATACACACAACCTTTTCTTGTGTCCTTCAGAGGAGGTGAGCTCTAAGACTGCTTACTCCTCAAGCTTAGAGAGTTCCATACAGAAATTTATCAAAGGAAAGACAGGATTTATCCATGGAGGTAAATCCTGTAATCCAGACAACCAGGTGTGCAAAATGTTCTCAGCTAAGAAAAGACAATTGTGAGGGTTCCTGCATCTTATTGGCCCTGTACAGGCAGTGTGACCTCAACTTTTCTGAAAATTTCACGTCCTTAATTTGACTTAACTGAGTCCTTGGTAACCTTTCCCCTAGGGATCCAAATATGTCTTAATGGTGCTGGTGCAGTCTTTGATCAGAAGATCTTGGTCTTTGTGCTCCAAATGGAAGAATCCAAGCAGAGCATATGGATGGGGTGAAATAGAATTGCTTTATTGAGGAAAGGGGAGTCACTCATTCTGCCAGGTAAGGAAAGGGAAGAAGAAGAAGGGGGCATGGTGGGTACAGATAGAGCCCACTGGCAGAGAGAGAGAGAGAGGAGAGGGAGAGGGGGAAAGAGAGAGAGAGAGAGAGAGAGAGAGAGAGAGAGAGAGAAAGACAGAGACAGAGAGAGAGACAGAGAGAGGTCAGGAGAGGGTGGTTTGGCCCATCCGCAGTCAACCTGAATGAGCCCCACACTTTTCCTACTTCTAGCTTGCCTCACATGAAGAGACTTTTTGTGAGTGAAAATTAGCTTTAGTACCATGTGTTTCTGGGCCTACCTAAGTATCAAAAACTGTCCGACCTATGAAGATAACAAGCGGTCTCAGTAAGCCCTTAACCTCACAAGAATCATGAAGATCAATAAGTTGCCACAGCCTTCGTCATAGTCCAGAGGCAAAAATCTCTCCACCTTGTTCAGGGGCAGTAACTAAGTTTTCTGCAGACTTGGTGTTGGGGTCTGCTTCCTCATGCTGTACAATCTTTGTTGCTTGTTGAAAATACACATTTCTCAGTAAAAACTGCATTTACTTCCTCCTCTGAACTCCATTACTTTTGTAAGAGGCATTCAAGTTGCTTTTGCTGAAAAGCACTGACTCCTTACTTGACCCCACAAATTAACTAAAAACAGGAAAAGCTTAGCATCTCTGTATCTGTCTTTTCTCTAAGTCGTCCTCTTTACAATCACCTTGGATTCCAAAAAAGACAAAACTGATAATATCTTTATGACAATGAACTGGAGCCACCTGGAGCTGCCACCCTCCCAATGAGGACAATTATCCCAAGAATCCTCTCAAAGAGGAATCAGATTACTCCCTCCAGATGATAACTTTCCAAAACTGGACCAGCCCACCTGCCTGACCAAGATTGTGGGCTCCACCAATCACGAACTCACCAGACCACCGGCCTGACCAAGACTGCTCTGCCAGTCATAACTATACCTGTGACTGGGACTGTTTAACTATGCATACCTTTGTCCCCTGCGAGTTCTTTTGTCTATTTAAACCTGTAGCTCATGTCTACCCCGAAGATGCCTGAAGATGAGCTGAGTGTTTACTCTACCTCTTTCCACGGCAAGCCCCAAGCCTTGTAATAAACCTCCTTTCTCTGCCTTCACCATGCCTCTGTTTGGCGTTTGGGGACAGGTGGCTAGACCTGGCATATGGAATCTCAGGAGTTTAGGCCTTGGGTCCGAAAGTCTGGTTTCACTTTCTCTGGGACACTACTAAGACCATCAAGGCAAGGCTCTTCCTTTTCTATAGTCAGCAGTAACTCAGCTTGGCTTATCATCAAGCTGTTTTGGTAGTATACTTGGTGAGCTGGTGTGCAAGAGCGGTCTTTATCAAAATTTGCTCTAAGCTTTTAGCCGAGATAATTAAAAAATACCACCACATTTTCTATTTGCCTTTTATATCAGCAAATGTTACCATACAATCTTAGCTGTTCTTTGTTCCTGCTCCTGAAGTCTCTCACTCCCAAGAGAAATGTCAGTCCCTGCTGGAGGGGGCTGCGAAGAGGTCAGGCATGTTGAGAAACACTTGTTATAAACTGGAAGCATGAAGACTGTGTGTCATCCCCCATTCCGACACAGGTTGGTGACCAGGTCAAATAAACAAGCAGCAGATTCCCTCTGCAGTCAATTCCTGGTGTTCTGCCACCTGGGGAGGGGCTGGCAAAGGACTGGGGAGGAAAGAGGAGATTTTCTTATTTCTATCAGTCACCTCCCTTTTATCAACTTTGCTGTTCACTCATGCCCCAAGGCTGACTTGTGTGAACTCTAGGGGGAGGAAAATCAAAGTGTGTCCTCAGGCCAATCCCACCCAACCTCTCTGTCCAAGTGAAACCTAGCTCTGGTGATCACCAAGGGCAGCCAGAAGGTAACAAAAGCCCAGCTTGACAGAAATGGACAGGAGTAAGCCAGGAGGAGATTATAGGCCGATTAAGTAAACTGTTTCTAAATTCCAACTGCCAGAGCTGTCCCGATTTTTCTTCATTTATCTCCTGGCCCCTTTGGGGTTCAAATCAGATACCAGGTGTCTGCTCTCTGTAGCACACAGGGTCAGGAAATTCTGCCCTTCCTGTCCCAGGTAAGGCAAGGCACAGCATTTGGAACCTGAAGAACAAAGGGGAACCTGGAGAACGAAAGGGGTATCCACAGTGGACCTGAAGTTAGGCAGAGAAGGGCCCTGTGGAGGTAGGCACTATAAGCTGGCCTCTGCTTGACATAAAAACCTTCCTGCCTTTACAGTCGTCCGGAACACGAAGCAACAAGTTTCCTGACACTAAAGGTGTCTCTCCCAAGGCCTCAAGGGCAGGCAATGGTGAAGACCTCCGCAAGGGGGAGGAAGTGGCCACTTTCTAACTCCTAGTTACTGTACTTAAAAGCTTGTCCCGACCCTGCCGTCTTGTGGAGTCTTAGATTTGGGCCATACGAGATGTAATTTAAGTACAGACTTTTTTTTTTTTTTTTTTTGGACTTGCTGATTTCTGGAGAGATGTCCTCAATCCCCCAGTACAGGACTTTTAGCCTTGGTCGCATCGGTGGGCGGGGCCACATAACTGGCCTCAGGCAATGGCCCCTCCCTCCAGGTCCCGCCCTGTAATCCTCTGAGCTTCTGGGCACCCTACAAGCACCGTGCTGAGCCCCGTTTAGCAACCCATTAGCTGTGAACGGTCTTTACTCACCATAATTAAGAAACAAGTAAATACCAAGTTGGAGAAACGCTTAGAGCCTTTAAGAAACCCATGGCAACAGAGATTCAAGCAGACTGAGTCAAGTTGGAAAGAGGAACTCCGCTGTTCTGAAAAGTTAGACTGGGTGGGGGCGTCCTGGAGCCCAGGACATTTGCGCCCCACCACCGCGGGGGTGGCGTGCCCGGGCCAGCGTGTCCTACGTTCCATCGGGCCCGGCGGGCGCGCGGCAGAGTCTCCGCGGGGGACTCGCTCTTGGCCTCGGGGTGACCCGCCGGCCTCTCCCCAGATTTATGACGTGTCGTGGGCAGCAGTGGTGACGGGGTCACTACACAAAGTCGGGTCATCGGGGCGGGGATCTCCCCAGACCAAGAGGCCCGCCATGGGACGGCGAGGGGGCGGGGAACGAGGCGCCCCCGGGCGCCGGGGCTCCGCGCAGCATTAAAGTGAGCTCCGACTTGGCCGCGGCGGCGGGGGGCGGGCGCAGGGGCGGACGTGAGCGCCCGGCGCGCGCCTGGCTGCTGTGGCCGCGCTGGCCGCCCGCGCGCCCGGCTCGCCGGAACCTCGCCACGCCCCCGAGAGGGTGGAGCCGCGTCCAGGGGCGGGTCCGCAGCTGGCGACGCCCGGGCCCGGGGCGCGGGCTGTGGCAGCAGCTGCAGCAGCGGCGGAGGCAGCAGCGCCAGGAGGTGCTGCTGCAGAGGCGGAGACTGCTCCTGGACGCGGTGGGGCCGCGCAGCCGGAGCCCCAGCCCGGAGGAGCTGGACGGGGTGTTGGAGGCGGCTGCTGCTGCTGTTGCCGCCCCCCCGCCGCCGCCTGGGCCCCCGCTGCCACCCGGACCGCGACTGCTGACTGCGCCCCCGCCGACCCCGCCCGCTTGTGCGCCCCAGCCAGGACGCCGCCCCCGGCCGGGTCTCCACTTCTCAGCCGCACCTTCCATGACAGCACCCGCTCGAAGATGGCTGCGAAGGGCGCGCACGGCTCCCACCTGAAGGTGGAGGGCGAGTTGGAGCGCTGCCGCGCTGAAGGCCACTGGGATCGCATGCCCGAGCTGGTCCGTCAACTGCAGACGCTGACTATGCCCGGCGGCAGTGGCAGCAGCCGGCGAGGCAGCCCGAGCGCCAGGTTCACAACTCTGGACACCGGTGAGTGAGGGAAGGGGTTGGTTCACCGGCCGCGAGCGCGCGAAAAGCACCGCCTCCTCCAGGAAGCGCGCCGCGAAGGACCGAACCCGGCCGGCACTCGGACGCTACCCTGCAGCAGCGCTGGCTTCGGAGCAGCAGGGGCAGTTGGGAGGGTCCTTCTGTCCCAGCAGAAAAATCAGATGCGGGTTGGGTGCTCGGGGAGGGAAGAGATAAGCGTCTTTTCCTCCCTGCCCTTTAGGGGCGTGTGGGTAATCCCGTCTACACGTCTCAGATCAGTGCATGGACCGGACTCTTGCCTCTCCGAGCTCCACCAGGTGAAGCTGTGCCTGGCCCTCCTTGCCAAAAAAGTTGCGGACGGAGCGCCTTCCACAGAGTAGACAGGTGGAGGTTTGTGTAGTACCAGGGTAGGGTGGTGACGCGGAGAAGAGGCCTAGCCAGCCTCAGTTTCCTCATTTGTGGCGGGATGGGGCCCCCATCCGGCCCTGGCAGCCTGTGGCTTTAGCAGTAGGGCTGGTTTGGCTGGGCTTGGCTCTGGTACTGGGGCGGAAAGCACCCTGATGGGGCGGCGGGAACACCCTGCCCAGTAACTAGCTCCAAACCCTCTTCCTGGTGCCTGCCCCTCAGCCTGCTGAGCCCTCCCAGACCCCCTCCTTGTGTGCCCAGCCACTTTTGTTGAAGGAGTTCCAGCGTGGAGAAGTGAAGTGGGGAAGGCTGTATAGAGGAGTCATAATAATAATTAACAATACTAGCATTAGCCCACACTGATGTCGTGTGTACTTTGTGCCACACACTAACCTAAGGGCTTTAACCAAGTCACCTCACAAAAACCCCAAGAGCAGGTACTCCTGTTTGCCCCAGTTTACAGATAAGGAAACTGAAGTTCAGTTAAATAGCTTGATCATCCAGCCAATATATTGTAGAAGCCAGATTTGAACTCAGGTTTCTCTCAAAGATGCACAGTGCAGAATCCCTGTCCTTAAAGATGGCCTAGAGTGGATGGGGAGACAGGGCGATTACTGGTGCGCAATGATGTGCTAGATTGTAGAGCTCAGGGAAGGGGAGAAGGTCTCAAGGAAGCAGCAGAACTTGACTGGCCCCTGCCTGATGTTTGGGAAGGACGGGGTGTATTTGCCCCAGGAGGGCAAGGGTGTGGGGCCTAGTGGCAGGGATGCACAGTCTGTGTTTGAGGCTTTGAAATAGGGCCGGGCATAGGGGTGAGGGCAGAGTGCAGAGGTGAAGGTGCACGTATAGGAGAAGCTGGTGAGCCCACTCTTCCAGGCCGAAAATAAATTGCAGAGTCCCCTCAGTCCCCTGTAGGAGGGGATGGGACTGGTGAGGAATGAACCACGCAGAAGGCACTGGTTGCTAGGTGAGGTGTGGGAATGTAAGTGAGGTTAGTGCCACAGAGAAAGGTGCTGGGCCCAAGACAGAAGCCCAGCCCCCCCATGGAACTGTGTTTCCTAAGCTGTTCTTCAAAGGTCACAAGGAGGTTGCAGTTCCTTAATTGGAAAGGGTTTAGGGAGCCAACAAGTTAAGAAATTGAGAAGAATGGATTCAGTGATGTTAAGTAGACTTTTAAAAAGATTGTTGGGTGTAATCCCAGCACTTGGGAGGCTGAGGCAGGAGGAGCCAAAGTTTCTTATCAATGTGTTTTCACAAAGCAAACAAAAAAACAGGGGATGTAGCTCAGTGGTAGAGTGCTTACAGTAGCAGGCACAGGCCCTGGGTTTGATCCCCACCACTGCAAACAAACAAAAGAAACTTCAGGATTTATCAGAGTCTTCATGTGCTCACCTGCATGTGATGTGTAGGCCAAGGTGGAATATAAATACCGCATCTCTCGATCTGACCGCATTCTGTGGACCACCATTGGGAAGCACTGGTATACCATGAGGGCTACGGTATAAAGTGTCTCTGTTTTTACAGTTTTTATAAACAGCTCTATGAGTTGGGCAGGAGTTTTCTCCCCATCTTAGGCATAGGGGCACCGAGGCCCAGAGGGGTCACATAATATATATTTGGTAAGGCTTGTACTCAAGCCCAAGTCTCTGCCAGCAAGCCAGAGTAGGGGCCTGAAGCCTGGGCTATCCTTGTGAGAACTTCACCAGGATAGGAGGAAGACTGAAGGACAGTGGGGTTTCCTGACAGCTTTTGGGTTTAGTTCTGTGAATTATTTTTCTCCCATCACTAAATCCAGAGACACCATCCCAGACACACGTGTCCACACATACACATATGTGCACATAGACATGCACACACATACTGGCATGAGGAAGGAAAACATGATTCCCAAAGCCCATGCGTAGAACATTTTTGGTTTGGCTGCTATTTTGGGTCTCCTGGGGGGTTTCTTGATCACTCAAGAAAATGATAGCCTGTTCTTTTTGGGGTGTTAGTGTGGCCTGTTAGACTCTTACAGTCAGTGAGTGACCTGAAGTTTCAACAGTCACAGTAATGTGGGAGAGGGCCAAAGATACTGAAGGGAGGGGATGGGGCAGAATCCCATGGAACCCAATTTTACTGAGGCCTTGGGGCCCTGCTGAGTCAGAGGTTTCTACAAAAACTGAAAAATAGTTCCCAGAACATTGATTCCATTCTTGGGGGGCAGGAAAGAAAGGAGCTATGGAGGCCACCCCAGGTGGGGTAGGATGGAAGATGAGGAGCTGCTGAAGCAGAACAGGCCCCCAGGGCCTTTTCCTGTCTGTGGAAGCTACTCTCCACCCCTGCCCCCGGGGAAAGTAGTTACTACTATTTGTCTTTTTCTTCAAACTCACATCCGGTGTAGAATTGGTCAGGTTGGAGCAGGGGAACCCCAGAGTTCTGCTTGCTGGCAGGGCTGGGTTGCTGGGGTTTGTTCATGTAAAAAACCCATCAAAAAACAAAACCCAAAACCACTTTATTATGAAAACTTTATAAAACATTAAAAAAAGAGAGAGAATTACATTTGAATGTATCATCAAATGTAATCAGTGGTTATGAACTTATGAACAATCTTGTTTGAGCTACACCTCAGCCCATCCCCCCACAATTTCAGTAAGTATTTATAAGATAAGAATGCTTTAGAAAAAATATAACCACCATACCATTATTATCCCCCCAAAATTCAGCAATTACATGTATGAAAATATCATAATGAAACTCATTTTATAGAATAAAAAAATTAAAACAAAAAAACAATAGCAGTTAAACTTTACAGTTTATTTGCTAGAGTCAGGATTCAGACAAAGCCACACATTGCATTTTGTTGTTACATTTGCCCTCCACCCCCAATATTTTATTAGGAAAGTTTCAACAACAACAACAAAAAGTTTGCACTTAGCACCTACATATGCTTTTCCTCCCCAGCCTGGATTCAGTCTTTATAACCTGTACCTCCTTTGTCATGTCTCTGACCCTCTTGAGTCTCTTCATCCATAGTCACACCATCTTTCTGTTTTTTTAGCTGAATGATTTTTTTTTAAACTGCAGATGTTTTGAATGTTGCTGTTTAAGTTGAAAAGGGTATGTGAGGCAGGTGGACTCCCTTGGGTGCAGTTGGAAGGGCCCAGACTCTGCAGACCTACGAGGGGAGTAGCTGCAGAGACCACTGCTTCTGTTGAATCTGATGGGGAAGGGCATGGTTTGATCCTCTACCCGGCTGGCTGAACTCATGTTTCCTACTGGGCTGTGAAATGAGAAGTATTGTCTTCCAAATGTGGTCTTGGTGGAAGGCAGATGGCCTCAAGTGGGTCTCTGTGTTCCTGTACCCTGAGAGGCCTGAGAACAGTAGGAGGAAAGTGGCTGCGGAGGCCTTCAGAACAGTCAGTTGAGGAGACCTGGTGGCTACTAAGTTGGGCCTCCTTTGGCCTCTGCTAAGGGCAGGGACTGTGCTGTGCTGTGCTGTGCTGCCAGAGTTTCTCATAGCTTCCAGTCCATTAGTAAGGCTTCCTCATGCTTCTGAGCCAGAGAACTGGAGCACCTGACCCAGCCCCAGACAGGGGAGTAAGTAGGTTTGTAGGTTTGGGACAACAGGATGCTAAACAACTTGCTTGGTCTTTTGGAGGACAGGGATGACTATCCACCTGGACTCTTTTCTTAAAAACTGAAAATTCAGATGGGGTGGGGCAGGGAGGAGAGTTGAGCAAAGGAAGAAGAGAAAGTGAATTTCTGACACCTACTATCCCTAACCATGAAACAAATAGACTGAGCAGAGAAACAACAGGGAGGGTGCCTGGAGTGTTAGTAAACACATTGTCTGGGGTTTGGGGTGTAACTCAGTGGCAGAGCTCTTACCTGCCATGCTGAGGCCCTGGGTTCAACCCCCAGCACATCCTCATGCCCAAAAAATGTCTGAAACTCACAGGTACATAAAAGTGAAAAACAGCTCTTATCCTTACCCAGGGATTTACTATTAGCTTTCAACTTACTCTGTCCAGATAGTAGAGTGTACTTTTAAATTACCAGACCTCTGTGTAACAGATTATTTTTTTGGTTGTGTTATTATTATTGGTTGTGACCCTAACAGTTAAGCTAATCTTTATTATCTTTTACAAAATGGGGATAATGTCTGCTTTTTAAGGCTGTGCAGGTTGTATAAGCCTGGCATTTAGTAAGTCCTCAACAAATATTAGTGCTCCTTTTGTAGTCAAAGTTACTCTTAGAGTTTAGAGAAGTGCTTCTCAAGTGATCTGTGATGAGGGATCAGCTTTGTTTAAATTCCAAGTCTGTTGTGCACTGATGCTTTCATAAAATACAGTATAAATGAAGTGCTAGAGACATGAAAGAACCTGGTGTGATGCATGCCTCTATTCCTAGCACTAGGGAGGCTGGGGCAGGAGGATCACTGAATGGTCTGGGTTATGTTGTGAGAACTTGCACAAAACAAAGCAAAACAAAAAACAGAGAGGGGCAGAGAGAGGGAGGAGAGAATGAGTGGAAGGAGGAGGAGAGGGCAATGAAAGAAAATACACAAAGCACTTGGAAACCAGTCTAGCCCATTCCACAGTGGGTAGCAGGGGTTCAGAGGACAGTCCCATTATTTTGAGGAATGGGTGTGTTCTGGGAGGGAAATTGGCTTCTCTTGTCATGAAAGGCACCCAGCCAAAAGGCTATGGAGAACTCTGGGTTAGGCAGGTGGGTGGCAGAGGCACCAGAATGGATAGCAGGGTGGTGTGGTGTGATGGTCAGGCTATAGAGCAGGTGCAGAAGCCACAGGGGCAAAGAGGTGGGCCCACCAGGAGGAGGTGTGGTCAGCTTCTCTAGGAGCGAGCGCCCAGCCCTCCCCCAGGTTTTACACATGCAATGCAGTTTAGAGGGTTAGAGCAACTTGCACAGAGGCACACAGTTCAGGATGCCATATGGGACGGGTCCAGGCATTGACTGCTAGGCAGCCTAGTTGCTCCTCCAGGCTAATTTGGAAATGAAAAAGATTGCCTTCTTGTCCTGGGTTAACTTAAGTTTGAGTTTTGACTTGGTAAGATGTTCACATGGTTCACACGTTTCATAGATACTAAAAAAGTGGAAAATGAAAAGCTTTGCTCTGTCTCCTTCCTGCTCCCCATCATCCAGCAAGATTTTCAGCAGTGTGTGCATATCCCCGGTCACATACTTCCATGCGTGAACACGCAGTGGCCAATAACAGGCACTGTGTGCACTCTGCTTTCTTATCAATTTGTCTTCCACTTTATTCCATAGCAGCACATACAGTGTCCTCATTGCTTTTTATGGCTGCCTGGTGTCCCTTTTTATGGATGTACCATACATTAATTAGCCTCCTATTGATGGACATAATGGCTATCTCCTTTTTTGCTAATGTAAATAATGCTGCAGGAATTAATCCTTTTTTTGGGGTGAGGAGTCAGTACTAGGGTTTGAACTCAGGGCCTGATGCTTGCTAGGCAGGCACTCTACCACTTGAGCCATTCTGCCAGCCCAGGGATTATTTTATACACAGGTCATCTTACACATGTACACTGGCATCTGTAGGAGTGGAATTTCTGGGTCAATGAAGATGTGCAAAGATAATTATGATCTATATTGCCAAATAGCCTTTTTTTTTTCATTTTTCTTTTATTATTCATATGTGCATACAAGGCTTGGTTCATTTCTCCCCCCTGCCCCCACCCCCTCCCTTACCACCCACTCCGCCCCCTCCCTCCCATCCCCCCCAATACCCAGCAGAAACTATTTCCAAATAGCCCTTTATAGAGGTTCCATCAACTTATCCTCCATCAGCAATGGGTGATAGTTTGAACCAGATACTTTGGTGTACCTTTCCTCAAAATGTTAATTTTAAAAATCATGAGGTAGGTAGCAAAGGATCTTGTAAGAGGCATTCTCAGAGCAAAACCATCCCAGGATTGCATGGTTGGGATTCTGGGTTTAGGCTGCTCTGTGCAGGGAGTCTCCTGAGGGGAGGGAGGTTCCTCTTTGGAGATGTGCAATTTTGGACTAGTGACCTTGAGACTGGAGCAAACAGGTGATCCTAAGAGTGAGGAAGGAGTAGCACTCCTGGGTAGTCTGGGGACAGGCTCCTAGCAGAAAGAGCAGACATTCCTAAAGATACTGTTGGATTGACACAGAACTACCTGAGTCTTATGGCTTCCTCTCAGAGAGTTGCGAGGATCTGATAAACTGGACAGGTATTTATTAGGCTCTTGCCTTGAGTTGTAGCCCTGGTCCTTGCCTGAGGCTCTGGGGCAGAGTAATAAGCACAGCCACCTGAGGCTCTCATGAAACTGCACTTGACCTCAAACCCTATATACCAAACACCTGCCCAAGTCATCTTTGCCATATATAGCAGGAATATATGTTTTCAGTGTGGTAGGGGGAGGCAATAAATCAAACATTGTAAAACCACCTGTCAGGGGCAAGGTATGCAGAGGAGCTACTATATGTTGTGCTCGTGCAAATACTAAACGTGTGCAAGGATTTGCCTTGCTACACAAGTAAGTGTGCATCCCACCTTCACTCTTTGCTCTGCACGTTAGGTTTATCACCCTAAAATACCTTAAAATGTAGCAAACCAATTACGGTTACACAGAAATTAGGAGCATGTGAAAGTGCATTAGTAAGCCACCTCATCTAGTTTTCCTCTTCAGTCATTTGGGGAGACTACTTTCTTGGTTTTAGAACTTGTTACCCACAGCAGGGTATAGATAACACAAATTCTGGGAATTTGTCTGGAAATGCTGCTTTCCCAACTACTGAACTACAGCAGAAAATAAACCCAAAGGGGCACTTGGTACTATGACCATGGTAGAATGCTTATGTATCTTTTCTAAAAGCTGTTTAAGTTTATGGAAAGTGTGTCTGTTTTTTCAGACCTCCATTCATGTGTTGGGGATGGGGACAGGATTCAGGGATTTATACCATCTTCCCATCTGCTTTGTTCAAGGGATTATGACTCTGTCCCCCTCTGATTCCTGCCTTGTTTTTCAGATGACTTTGGGAAATTATTGCTGGCAGAGGCCCTCCTGGAGCAATGTTTGAAGGAGAACCACGCCAAAATAAAGGACTCCATCCCTTTGCTGGAAAAGAACGAACATAGGATAAATGAAGCCAAAAATTATCTGAGCACTATCCTTAACCAAGGGAAGCTGCCGGTAAGTTGTCAGTGACAAGTCCAGGACCTCCTCTCCTCTCTGGCCTCCCATCTGCTGTCCAGACTTCCTTGATCATTTGGTCACCTGAGTAACAAGTCTGTTTTAAGTATTGGCCTCTTGTTCAGTACAGTAACTACCAGCCAAAAAAAAAAGGCTGGTGGAGTGACTCAATTGGTGAACGCCTAGCAAATGTGAGGCCCTGAGTTCAAATCCCAGTACTGCCAAAAAAAAAAAAGAGGAGTAGGGGCATAACTCAAGTGGTAGAGCATTTGTCTTGCATATACAAGACCTGAGGTCAGTCCCCAGTACTACAAAAGCAGAAATTGCAACAAAAAAGAGCATGACCTTTATGTGGATTATATGTTCAAATGATAATCTTTTGCATATATTGGGTTAAAGATATTATTAAAATTAATTTCTCCTTTTTAAGTGATTGGAAAATTTTATTAGAAATTTTAAAATGACCCATGAGGACCCTCACTTGTGACTAAAGTTATATTTCTATTGGCCACGCTTGGCTGGTGTAATATGTACCTGGAGTCTTTGGACTCTTTATGGGGTTCTCAAGGAAGTAAGACCTCGGTGGGCCTATGATGTGTTTGGAAGCAAGCAAACATGCAGAGTTGACTCAAACACAAGAGTTCCAGAATAGGGCAAGCCAGTTTAAGTCCATGTGCATTTATTGAGTGCTTGCTGTATGCAAGGCATGAAGGGAGGTTGAGGGGAAGTATAGTCACAACTTTCTTCAGACCTATGCTGTTCAAAGTACATCTACCCATCAGCAATGTGGGTATCAAGTCAATTCTAAGCAAGTTACCTAGAAAGGCAAAATGTAAATCAAACCAGTACTTAAACAAGATCCTCCATGACTCATGTATCAGAGTTTGAGACTATAGATTAACGTGTACCCTGAGCTGTAATATAGGTATCGGTATGTTATTAGAAACTCAAAGAAGAAAAGTCTTTCAAGAGCTGTTCTAAATATATTTACTTCCTTAAGCATTTCCTGCCACCTGTTCTGTGCAAGGAATCACGTTATGCTGAGGGTACTCTAGATGGACTTAGCATGGACTCTGCTCTCAAGGAGGTTGCAGGTTTGTGGGGATGATAAGACCTGTGGGCAAATAAATAGCATTTGTCCCAGGTAGACTGTGATTACATGCTGCAGAAGTGGTACGTGCGAGGCGAGTCTGAGGGGATACTTTCCTGGAAGAGGCAGAGAGCATACTAGGGGTGATAGTAGAGAATTGGGCTCTTTATAAGGCTGCATCTGGAAGAGGGGGCAGTATGGGCTACAGAGATAGGGCTGGGCATTTCAGGCCAAGGAAGTGATAATATGTAATTGAAGGTTTCTTTTGTTAAAGAATCTCCTTAAAGTCTGTCAGTTTAGCAAAAGCCAAGAGGAAAGGGAAGTAATTAGATTGTAAAGGTATATTGGGCCAAAGAATAGGTACTGGAACACTGTGAGCAGTGGGGTAGGGGTACAGGGAGAGGGAAACACGTGCTGAACGTTTGAGGTTTCTGCTTCTATTTTAGCAGTGGGAGGACATAGTTTGGTTAAAATAGCTGCTTGAAACTGAGCCTGTTCCTTGACCTCAGGGCCATTCTAGTTCCTCATCTGCCTATCAGAAGGGTTAGCTTTGATTGATGGATCCAAGCTTCTCCCACCAAGATTTTTTCATTTTAGTAGACTCCATTAAATTTGTTCTTAAATATGATTCAGGCCTATTGTGAAAATGCAGTCAATAAACAAGTAATTTGAATGATAAAGGTCCTTGAATGTGTCCAAACTTCATTTGTATTGACTGACTGGTATCCACATATGTTGTACAAACTGTTCACTACATCCCATTTATTTAATACAGATTTTACTGTTTTTTATTCAACAGAGACACAGGTACCAATAGTATGGAGAAATTCAGTTATCTAGGCCAAAACCAAAAACGTGCTAATTAGGGAAAATGAAATGTTAAAATTAGTCAGTGGGGCTTTCTCTTACTTCTAGAGGTCAGAGTGTAGCTGGGGGGTCTCTCTTGACAGCAGGTGCAATCTCAGCTGGATTCCCCTGCATCCCAAGTAGCTCTGATGGGTGGGGAGGAGAGGTGGCCCTGAGGTATCTCCTTGGGTTATTTGAAACCCTGGACTCTGGGTAGTCTCTAAGATCCTGCCCCACCAAGTTCTGTGGAGGTTGGGGAAAATAAGCCCCTTGTCCTAATTTCTGTTATCCATTGAGTGCCACTCCAGGAATTGCAACATCCCATTATGGGCTCCCAGTGACCTCTTGCAATGGTACTGCCTTTAGTCCCACATCTGAGACCCAGATCACTACCAGGGGCAGTGATCACTTAGCCAAGGACCACAATAGCAGATACAGAACTTGAACCCAAGCTCACTGTCTCTGTATCACAAGCTCTAATGCTCTGCTTCTTCTTGGAGCTGTCTCCCAATGTACTGGAATAAAAATAAAATAACTGAAGACTTGGATTAATTTAAGGATATGCTGGCACTTCTGCTCTTATAAATCATACTTTATGGTGAAGTATTTCCTTATCTGTTCTTTCCTCCTACTGGGTATCTCCATGAGATCATTGTTCCCTCTGTATGGAGAGGGACCAATGAGGCACAAATAGGATAGGCAACTGAGGATCCACCCAGCAAGGGGACTCTTTGCTCTCCAAGACTTTTTTTTCATGGTACTGGGGTTTGAACTTGGCCTATACCTTGAGCCACTCCGCCAGTCCTTTTTTGTGTTGGGCTTTTTCAACCTAGGGTCCCCCGAACTATTTGCCCAGGGCTGTCTTCAAACTGAGATCCTCCTGATCTCTGCCTCCTGAGTAGCTAGATTACAGACGTGAGCTACCAGGGCCTGCCCCTCACCACCCCCATCCCCAGACTTGTTGCAGAGCATCCTTCCACTGGCCAGTGTTTGTGGTTCCCTGACTGTTGGATTGACAGACCAAGAACATTCCAGATTTAATGTTGAGAAGTGAGGGCATTAGAAAAGCAAAATACAACAGCAAAACTGTACATATCATTGCTCCGTTAAAGACATCTTAACACCTAAGGCAAGATGGATATATTTTCAGGACTAAGACGACTTTTAAAAATAGTATCCACTTAGCTTTATAAACATTCAGTGCATTGTTCTTAATTTTCCCCCAGCTTGGTGGAAGCTCTGTTGTAAGCTGTCATGGTCCACCAGGTGCCACCACTAACCACACCCCATCATTGTGCCCTGGAATGTGTCCTTCTGAGCCTTGCTGCCCTTTTCCCAAGTACAGTAGAAGTGGGTGATTATAATAATTACTCACACCCTGTATTTATCTAGAGCTTTCTCAGGAATAATGCAATGTTGTCTTCTGGACTTTGCTCTGTTAATGCCCTTAGCATCACTGAGATGGGAGGTGAGGAGGGGGTGTTATTATTTCTGTCTCCGGTAAGGAAAGCAGGGCTGAGCAGGGAGAAGGTGAGCCTGTGGCTTTAGACCGGTACACAGAATGGCAGAATCATCACCCAGCTGGGAAGCACTATGGGCTGTGTCCCTCTGAGAATGTGTCATCTGTGGCTCTGACTCAGGAAGTGGGTGGCCTCTTTGGGGAAACTAGCAGATGTCGTTGTGAAATTCAGCCTTTGAGAGTTAATCAATAGTCAAGAGATAGGAGGACAGATGTACCTGGTAGAGGCATTGTAGCAGCTCAGCAGGAGGGAGTTCCCTGGTGGTCAAGGAGGCTTCCAGGAAGAGGTGGGCCTGAACAAGGCCCAAAGAGTGGAAGATGATCTGAACAGGTTGAGAGTAAGGGGACCAGAGTGAGAAAAGGCAACAGGAGGTTGTGTATTTATTCAAACCAGAGACTAGTAGGGAAAGAGAATTGACTTCCCCAGGGCTTGACTTTGCCTTGCTCTGTTTCTCTTAGTTGGCTTCTTAGAAGGGAATAAATGATGAGGAGTGGTGGACGCTCCCCCAGGGGTCACAGCTACTTCTGACTTTTACCTTCCCACAGGGAGATAGGGGAGTCCCTCCTTGCCTGTGATGGAGGCCAGGGTTGGGGACCAAAGCTGCATTTCCAGGGAGCTTTGTGGTTAGATTGGTGTCCCTGTAGCAGGGGCAATGGTTAGAGCCTGGTCTAAAAGGGTTGTGAGCCAGCTGAGCATAGGGATGGAGACAGGGGCTGCAGTAAATGGTCCCAAGAGGTAGGCATGCAACAGGGTCCATGTCTAGGGCCAGAGTTCAAGGTTGGGTTGGCTCACCCAGGGGCAGCTCAGCCTCCCTCAGTCAGCTGCACTGGGTACTCTGGCTGTGAACACAACCTGTGTTAGGTTGGGGGTGACCAGGGCAGACTAGACCTCCTGAGTTCCTAAGGAGGCTCCTGAGAGGCCCCTGAAGGGTGGAGACTTGGGCACAAGCAGCACTTGAGAAAGTAGGGGGAAAGAAAGCAGATTTGAATTCAGATACTTTCGGCCTCCTATGCTCTGCACTTTGCCTCACTTATAATAAGACGAAGACCTAGAGGGCTCTCCTGTCTTTTGTCCCCACTGCTGATATGGCTGTTCCTCCTCTCCATAGGTCCTGCTGCTGTGGGGGTAGACGTCAGCTTCTGGGTCCTCACAGGCTCTTTTTGAGGAATTTTACCTAATGTACACACACACAGACAGGACCTCATCCAAATTATGGTTTCAGGTCCCATAAAAATTAGCTCAGTCCCTGCCTCTCCACTTGTTTTCAGAATAACTGCTGCAAGTGCCAGAGTCTTTGGAGGCTTCAGGAGAGGGAAAGCAGGGCTCTGTCTACAGTGGCCTGGAGTCTAGGCACACAGGCATGAAACAATTCGGAGCTTTATAAGCATTTCATTAAGTCCCACAATGTGGGCCCTAGATCCAGGGATGGAGAGAGGAGGGAAGGCGTTCTGGAGGAGAGGTGCTCTGAGCATCCTGTGGCTCAGTGGGAGTTGGGTCTTCCAGGGTACATGGGGGACTGGGGTGGAAGCTTTGGGGCAGGAGCCTGCTAATGGGTCCTTGTCCTTTCAGCCACAGTACATGTGTGAGGCCATGTTGATCCTGGGCAAGCTGCATTACGTGGAGGGATCCTACCGAGATGCCATCAGCATGTATGCCCGGGCTGGGATCGATGACATGTCCGTGGAGAACAAGCCCCTGTATCAGATGCGGCTGCTGGCAGAGGCATTTGTCATCAAAGGTAGCTGTGAGCACCGGCTTGGGTTCCCCCCACCACCATGACCAACTCATTCCACTTTGGCCCCCAAGCACCTGGAGCAGTAGACACAGCTGAGGGTGGGCCTACAGGCCAGTGTCAGATGCTTAACCCTGAGTAATGCCAGACACCTGTGCTCTACAGCAGCCTGGTGCCCAAGTGTGACATCAGTGGACTCAGGTTCTTAGCCTCGCTCTGTGGACAACCAGCTGTGTGCCCTTGGGCAAGTAGCCTCTCACCTTGTGTGGCCTCAAGTTTACTTATCTGTAAGACAGGGTTGTAATACCTTTCATCTCATGGTTCCCACGATAAAGAAGAGACAGCTGAGTTGCATAACCAGGTTGAAGAAACCTGGACAACCTTGTTGTCCAGCTGTCTCTAGTGACTGACTGGCTACACATTACAGCTCAGTACTGTACAGGAGTCGGCCATTCTTCAGGTATTGGGCACCTACTGTAAGTGGCCCAGGGAGGGACTGCTTAGATCCAGTGACAAGCACTTCTGCTGTGGAGGAGCTCCCAGCCTTCTCAGGGCAAGAGGCACTCTGGAGAGAACTCAGGGATAGAGGAATTTCGTGAGGGGGCACCGAAATGTTTAGTCAGAAATAATGCCACGGAATTGGCCCGCAAATGTGTTAAAAAGTTAGTAAAAGCCCTGCTCTGAGCTTTGTGTTTTTGGGCTTCTTCTTGCCTAGCTCCATAAACCCTAGAGTGGGCCTTGGTGGCATTGAAGTCCTGGGAGTCCCCCTGCCCAGACTGTTGCCAGGAATCCTGGATGTTTGATCATTTCCCTATTCCTGTAAAAGCAACTCCCAGGGAAAAGTCTAGAACAGCCACCTATGACCCTGTGAGGATTTGATGCTTGGCATTGGTAGAGTGTGTTACCATCTCTATTATAAATGGGAACATTTTCTTTTGTCTCATACCTGGGGAAACTGAGGCCCAGAGAGGAAAAAAAGGTTCCTTGCCCAGAGTTACCCAGATTTATGATGGAGCCTGGACTAGAACCTGCAGTCTGTGGTGCTGACCTTGGAGTATACACACCGTCTCCCTGCCCCAACACACACACACATTTCTGTCTGCGTAGTCGGGAGACACTGTGACACCTGCGGAGGGTAAACCTTCCTTGACTGGCAGGAGGTGCTTTCCTGAGGGACGTTTGTCCTACCCTGGGTCCCTGAGTTCTTTTCTGGTTGTATTCATGCCATCCCAGGAAACCTGTGAGTGGGTCACTTGGGGGAAGACCCAGAACCAGCCTGTGGGAGGGCAGGTACCCACTCATGAGGGTCCAGCCTATGGGAGTCTTCTCCCTTTGCTCGCTCACCCCTTCTCTGCACCTCTGGCACAGGCCAGTCTTGGGGATGATCTTCCTTTGGCTTTTGGGTCTTTTGGGTCTCTTGGAAACAACTTCTACCCTGGATGCCCTGAGCCGAACACCCTCCCTTGGGTGTCCCTTTCAGTCCTTTCTCCTGTCAACCTGGCTCAGTACATATTGCTCCCTGTCTCCTGCTCTCTACTTTCTCCAGCATGCCTCCAGCTTCTTGGGGGAACACAGTCCTGGTGGTCAGAGGTCCTGCTAGGGAGGTAAGGAGCCGGCGCATGGGCTGCTGGGTTGTGTGTGGGCTGTGCTGGCTCCCCGTCCCTCAGTGACTGCATGTGGCCCCTTTGTCTGCCTCCTCTCTGTCCTCCCTGTCCTGTTGCAGTAACTGCACCTGCTGCTTGGCATGCCAAGGTTTGCTTGACCCTGCATGTGCTTGAGACCATGCACAAGGCTGCCAGGGTGTGCATGACGTTGACTCTTCTGGGTTTAGGCATCTGGTGGGTCTCTCCATGAAGAAGGGTGACAGCCACACCTGGAAGGAGGTGAGGGTGGCTGATCATTTGACTGGCTTTATGTGACAACATGAGGGATAGTGGCAACGGAAGGCCCCAAGCTCACAGAGTAATAATAGGCATTAGGTCCTCACGCAGGTCAGATATACCTGTCACTGAGTCCCCAAGAGACCCCCAGAGTCAACGTTTTTATTCTGTGTTACAGATGAGGACCTAAGGTTGGAAGAAGTGGCTCCTTCCAGGTCTCACAGCAATTGCAGAGCCAGGATTTGAACTCAGGCAGGAGCTCATAGACATCTTATGATGTTGCTGCTCAGATTCTAGGAGGAAACTGAGGCTAAAGGAAGTAAAGCCACTTACCTGCACATCAGTTAGCTTGTGTTTGAACTAGAATCTTCCATGCCTGGGCAGCCTTCCTTTGTCTCTGTCCAACTGTCCAACTCCATAGGAGCCCCCCGACCCACTCTGAGCACATTTGGCCTGGCTGTTAAGCCTCAGCTTTTTTTTTTTTTTTTTGTGGTACTGGCATTTGAACTCAGAGCCTACACCTTAAGCTATTCCATTAGCCCCTTTTTTTGTGATAGGTTTTTTCCAAGATAGGGTCTCGAGAACTGTTTGCCTGGGCTGGCTGCGAACTCCAATTTTCCTGATCTCTGCTTCCTGAGGATTACAGGCATGAGCCACCAGTGCCTGGCCAAGCCACAGCTTTAAGATCACTTTGTGTTGGGTTGCACTTGGTGCCACCCAGTGAGGCAGGGAGTTTGGGTCTCAGGCACAGGATGGAGGGAGAAGACAGGATTCCATGTGTTACAGGAGAGTGTGAGTTGGCCAGGCTGGGAGGCTTAGTGGGACCCACATGGGCATCTCCAACTTGGAGCTGCTGTTCTTGTTCCAGGAGTCAGGAGCAGCCTCTGGGTCTCTCCACCCTATCCTCAAAAGACATGAAAATACACTCAGCTCATCCTTTTTCCCTTTCAGAGCAAATGGACTTGGCAGTGTGTCCCTTTGAGCATCCCTCAAGAGGACATGGCCGCCCTCTGGAGTGGGGATTGATGTGCACCTGCACATCAGAATGAAAGGTGCTCTCTGATTCTCAGGGAGGTGCAGATGCTCACTGCTGACTCCACGGGGAACTGGGGAGAAGAGGGCAGTTGTAGCATTTGAGTTTCTCTTGTTCAGAGAGTAGCATACATGATGCACACATGTGTGTAATAAAGCAGAAGAGTGTATGATAGGGAAGTGGGGAGTACATGACCCTCCAACTTCTCTAAAGGGAGAAGAGTTACTGTCCATGTCAAGTTTGTTCAGAAATAATAGAGGGCTGGAGGTGTAGCTTAAGCGGTAGAGAACCTGCTCTGCATGCATGAAAACTTGAGTTCAAACTCCAATACTGTCAAAAAAAAAAAAAAAAAAGACAAACCACATTTCCCCCACTAAAATAGAAGAACAAAATACCTTCATGAAAAGACCTGTCAGCACTCTTTGTCCTCAGATTTTAGCCATCACTGTACTCAGACTGACTAGATTCTACCAGGAGTAGGCTGGATTTTAGGGCTTCTTAGTAGCATCTGGAAGAGGGATGGGCTCTGGATTCAGAAGAAGCATGGCCTCTTCCCAGGTGCTGCTCCAGTGCCTCCTGGCTGCAGAGGCACCTGTGCTAAATTGTTGCTCAGTGATAGGTCCATCCTGCTGCCACCAGCTCCCAGGTCACCTGTGGTCCTTGGGCAGAGCTAAGGTCCTCTGCTGCAGGTCAGCATGCCCCAGATAGTCCTTTATTACCCAAGGACCAATTTCCAGAGCCCCTTGGTATAACTCATGCTTGTTGGCATTCCTAGAAATATGTGGTACTGACCCTTCCCCTCTGGGCATCTAATGTGTATGTAGGAGAAAGGGGAAAAAGGGGGCAGATTATTCCATATGTAACCCTTGGAGCTTGTTAGAAATGTAGACTGTCAGGCCCTTCAACCTGATGAATTAGAGCTGCCCCTTAATGCCATTAGATGACGTATGTGCACACTGTTTAATATATAGTTGTCTGATGGGTTAACCTTTGTCCCTACTCTGAGATAGGAGATGGTGGTTACACCCTTTTATAGATAAGATACTGAGGCTCACCTCAGCTCATCACATGTAGCCTATAAGTAGCATTGGTGGCTAAGATGGATGTCTTCCTGCCTGTGCAGAGGAGCTCACCAGAGGAGGATGGGAATTGAGTACAGTTTCCTCCCAGATGGGTATGTGCAAATAAAGACCTCCTCCTCTCCAGACTTTTTCAGCCCTAGGTAGAGTAGGAGTCATAGTGCTGGTGAAGGCCTGTACCACTTCATCAGGGTCTGCTTTTCCAGGGGTAGTGGTGTTGGTAGGTGAGTTATTCAGAAAATCTCCTTTTGTATTTTATCCCAGTATCAGCCATCTTGGTCCTGAGTGGAAGCCTGCTCCCCTCCTACTGCATTCCTCAGGAACTGCTATCATCCTGAGGTGATTTCATCAGACCAGTGTCCCCCCAACTAAGCATGTCAGACCAGAGTAATGCCCTAGGAAGTGTTCCTGGACTGTTCTGGGTGCAGGTGACAGACATATATATTCTGTATGGAACAACTCCACTACCATCCTGGTGTGTTTGGGCAAGAAACATCTTTGGTTTTCTCTGTATTAAAAAATAGTCTAGAATACTTTGTTTTCAGGGTTCTTCCAGGAAGGTCTGACTTCCCTGGCACCACTTTTATGAAGCTCTTGGCAGAGCCCTGTGCACTTGGTTCCAAGTGTTCATGGCTAGCAGCCCTGTCTTCCACCCAACTCTGTGACAGCTGGTCATTTCTTCTGCACCTCTCAACTATGGGTGCACTATATGTCCACACACAAAGCCCAGTATCATGTATGAAGTTCTGTCCCTTCACTTTGTCTTGAGCCATTGTCCTTGCCAATCATAGCCTTTTTTCTTTGCTCTGAACATGGATGAGGCCTAAGATTTCCCTCTTTTTTTTTTTGGCAGTACTGGGGTTGAACTCAGGGCCTTGTGCTTGGTAGGCAGGTGCTCTACCACTTGAGCCACTCCTCTAGCCCTTTTTGCATTGGTTATTTTTGAGCTAGAGTCTCACCTTATGCTGGGATCAGCCTGGACCATGGTCTTCCTATTTATGTTTCCCTGTGTTC